TGCTAAATTTCCATAAACCGTGTAAAACTTAAAAAAATGCACACTGACGTTGCAATATTTCAGTGTCTAAATGCATTTTGCACTTTTGATAAGACTTACTTAAATTCATTGCAAGCTGGGGCAGAAACTATAATAACTGCAGGAACAGAGCTCAAGCTTAAGAATAAAAAAGATCAATTTAAAAGACTTAGCTAAATATTTTTAATATTCCTTCTCAAGTGTATATCTTTTAAAATAAATGAAAGTTTGGACATCAAAGAGAAAGTTTTTATTCTTTTTGCTACTTGCTACCCAAAATTTCCTCCATTTCCCCTAAAAAATCCGTGCATATATTACTTATGGAGGAAATAATTTATTTGAGCGGGATTTTTCGAGAAATTATATGCGACTCCTGCTTCCAAAATCTATAGTATCTACACATTGTAGCAAAGGTAAGGATGGGGGTTTAAACGTCATAAATCATACCATAAACCAAATGAAGATAGAAAAGAAATTTTAAGTTCTATAGATTACCGAAAAGTTTCAAACTTTTGGCAAAGCTTAGAGTCAAGGAGTACTTCAAAACGGATTCAATCTGTAGTAAATGCCCTAGAACCAATACAAGTACAACTCAATCCCTCTCATTAGTCCACGAGGCAAAAGAACTCTTCCGTTCAATAATACTTTAGTCAATATCAAACCGGATACAAATCTATCAGTATTCTTTGGTATCTGTTTATCTGTTTTACAAGATACACTGAAACCCTCTCGTTTTTATACGGGGAATACGATTACTCTAACACCATAATCAAGTTGAGTATTATTCCAACTGACGTTTGTTTTAATTTTTATGTTACAGGTTTAAGTTAATGAGAGTAATAACAAGTTTTGCGGCGTTATATACAAGCGTAGTTAAGCTAATCACAATACAGGTTTGACGTAATTATTTACAGACATAGCCAGGTTAGGTTAATCGTAATACAAGTTTTGCGTAGTTATTTACAAGCGCATTTAAATTTTCAGACAATCTACAACGTAACTTATCTAGGTGTGTTCAGGTTTATAAATATGGGACTTGCTACGGTATTTATAACAAATCTACCTCGCAATTATTAGTGGTTGAAAAAAACTAATGTAAAAAGATCTAGTATTAATGCACTAAGGTCAAAAGACCACAATACTTGGATTGAAACGCCAAAAGTCACTAATCCTAATATCAAGGTAATCAAGAACTAAGGTATTAATGTACGGCTCAAAACATCTGAAGCGTAATCAGTCATCTAATGAACCGCAATAAAGACGACATTTAAGTAATTTAATGTATTTTTGTTGTTGTTATTAGACAAATAGTTGTATTAGTAAAGTTTGATAATTATCTTATTAAAGTTAAATAGGGCTGTGTGCGTACACTGCACAATTGCTCTGTTTTATGTTCATTTGACAATCTTAAATCATCTTAAATCATCTTAAATCATCTTAAATCATCTTAAATCATCTTAAATCATCTTAAATCATAACTTGAGTCTAACAGTCGTCTTCCTTTTCCATGGCTGTGGATGTTCTACTGCAAATTCGTTTTCCTATTCCACAGTTTTATATTTCCCACTGCAACTTGTCTAATAGCCATACATTCCATGACATACATCTGATAATACAATGGACTAATTCAATCGATAAAGGTCGGTAAAAATTATGCATTATAGATTAACTCAAGCCTAAAAATGTTTGTATTCCCTCGATCCTAATATGTTTCATTAGGACCAATGTGTGTAGAGCTAAGGTGGGCGGATAGGCTTTGTTAACACACAACTGACGTAATTGGACTGTTTTGAAACAATGATTGTACAAGCCCTGCCTTCTTTCTACCCATGCTATGGGTAATTACAACCTTTGTTTACATTTTATGTTATTGTTTTGATAAAGCTATAATTCAGTTCTAAGACGTCATCACAGTAATGTGTTCACAACAATTATTCCCCATCTAGTGCCTTGAGTGCCTTGAGTTCGTGTCGTTCAGATTCAATATTTTCGTTCCGAGTCAAATTTTGGCACAGTGTAATAAGGACAAATGTTTTCAAAACGAAACTAAAAATTTGTTTTTCTTTACACTCTGTCAAATTTTGACTCTGAAGAAAGGAATATATTTACAGAAAATCGACCCAAAAACGATCTATAAACGATCCAAAAACGATCCATAAACGATCCAAAAACGAACGTGATGTAACGATCGTTTTTCCATTTTTTTTAAGGATAAAGATGTTACACAGTTTAATAAAAGCAAACTTTAGCATATTCAGTTTTGAAATCTTAGAAATATTTTCAAATATTTTTGAAAAGATCCAAAACGATTATCAACACAACCCCTACCTTAGTTCTAAACACATTGAGTAAACCTATAGCTAGGTAGTAGGGTGCACTAATGTATAAAAGTTATTATACTGCTGATAGCAGAAATTAGGCTGATAACATCAAATTCCATTTCCTGGAGGGAGGGGAGGGGGGTATGTTAGGG